TGGTGGGGGTGGGGTGGGGTAGTTAAATCAAGACCACGCCGTGCTGCGCTTCTTTGTCGGTAGCAGCGGCGCATCGACGCCGCGTGCCGGCTGAATTCGAATCGCTATCCCTCGGCTGAGCTAACGTCGCGTGCCGAAACTCATAGGAGGTTGGTTGACAGGGGCAGAGGCTCGACGATGGGTCGTCTTAGAGGGTTTTGGTTACGGGAACAGACATGTTAGGTTTGGGTGTCGAATTGGGTGGTTTTGATTCTAACTGTGATCTTAGAATGGCACTGACAAACTTAGCCGATATTGGTGCTGATCATAATGTCATCCAAAATTATAAGGCGGGCACAGCCAGAACTATGTTAGCGGTCACCTTTATAAAACTGAGACCAGACCTGTCTATGAAGGAAACTTTCGACATTTTCTTCGAGTGACCGATATATACAGGCTTTTCTGCAACTAAATTGTCATTTGCACTACAGGACAGACTGTGTAACACTGGTGCAACGCTTTCTTTCAGCCTGCCACGCAGTGGACAACGCAGCAGATTGCTGAGTGGCTGGCCGTCGTCAATCTCGAACGCTTTGCCAATATCTTCAAGGCGTTCGGCATAGATGGCAGCAGGTTACACAGCATCACGCAGACGGAACTGGAGCAGGTAATGCTTCTCTCTCTTTCTCTCTCTCTCTCTCTCTCTCTCTCTCTCTCTCTCTCTCTTTATCTCTCTCTCTCTCTTTGGGGCCTCTTGTTCCCGTTGTCAGAATTAGTCATAACATTAGTCTTAACGGTAATTGTTTCTTGTCGACCCGACCTCTATGTACTGTGTATGATACACTCGTAACTTTACCTTGTTTCTGCATGTCAACAGTCTACAAGATAACGTTAATGTTAAGACTAGTGTTAAAACTGATTTTGTTTCTGACAACGCCCCCCCCCCCCTGATCTCTATGTACTTTCTGGATAGTGAGTGCATTGTGGGTATTAGGTGATATCACTTGGCTTCCATGTTGGATGGCACAAAAGTGGGATTTGCTAGAAAACGGGTGTCGAAGGAGGGTCACGTGATGTGGCTGCACTTGTGTTAGGGTTAGGGTCTGGGTTAGGGTTAGGGTTAGGAAAATAAGGCCATGTCTAGCACGGAAGTATGACTGTGGAATCTTGCTGTGGAAGATTTGGACTTTGACGCGTATGAAGTGACTAGTGCTGCCACGTAACGGCACCCTCCTTCGACGCCCGTGTTCTAGCAACACCCCACAAAAGTTGTCAGCTTGTTGTTATCAGCAGAGATTCGCAGTATGGAGGTTGAACATTGTTGCAACACATGTTGCTATAACAACAAGTGCAAAACTGGTTGTTATTCTCTCTCTTCCTCTTCCTCTCCCTCTCCGTCTCCCTCTCCCTCTCCGTCTTCCTCTCCCTCTCCCTCTCCGTCTCCCTCTCCCTCTCCGTCTCCCTCTCCCTCTTCATCTCCCTCTACCTCTCCCTCTCCTCTCCCCCTCCTTCTCGCTTGCTCTCTCTCACTCTCTCGCTCCTTTTTTCCTCTTTCTCCTTTTGTCATTCTCCCATGCTCCTCTTTCTTTGTCCCTCTCGCCTGCTCACTCTCGCTCGTTATCCTCGTTTGTCTCTCTTCCTTCCCTCTCTCTCTCTCTATCTCTCTCTCTCTATCTCTTGTGTAACATTTTCTGGATAATGATCGAAGCGTGTTCGCTGCTGTGAAAATTCCCTGGGTGTCATCTCTAGCAACCTAGAAATGGCATCCAGAGATTTAATCACGTCAAATATTTGATTGTTTTCAAATTATGTATAAAGTTCTGAATAGAGCTATTAAAGTATATGCACTTGGTAGAAATATCGATTGAGGGGGTAAAGTATCTCATGGAATCTTAAAACTATCAAATTGAGATGCAATGTACATGTTGTTAGATAGATGCATGTGTCAGACGATACTCCAGAACAGTTGTGCAACGTTTTGTTTTCAGAAAGGATTGCCTCTCTTCCTCTTCCATGCTCACACTGCCTTCATCATACTAAAGTTTCGGCCAGTTACACTGAGCTTGGTTATTTTGGTCCCCCATCACTGCAGAAGCTCTCGTCATTTTACGTTGTCATCCGAGCCACGAGAATGAGGATGCCTAGGTTTCTACACCCTGAGAAAATTTACCACACTGGCCGGGGTTTGAACTTACATGTGTCGACGTAAAAGGCGTACGTGTTAGCCGATGGCTAACCTCTGAGCCACCGTTGCTACTAATTATGCTTGCTGCTAACTCTAAATAATTAATTTTAGCTTCTAGCAGTCAGGGAACGTTTTCATGCTATCAGTACTGTAATCGGAGTTACGCGGCAGACCAGTAATTGTACTGAAGCTCACCCCCTAATGAACTATTTTCGAAAATTAGTAAACAAATTTCTGTTGATCAGCACATGTTATAGTAATTAAAACTTCTGCGATGAAATTTCTTTATATGGACTCGATGGTTACGATATAGTTTGGTCCAACGCTAAGCAAACTCGCGCAAATGAATTATTATTATTAGAAAACGTTTTTCTCTCAGATGGCAGGCGAAACGCTTGTAGATTTGCATCTGGAAACTGTTTTCACTCACCGGCTAATTAAGGAAAACGCCACGACGTCTGTATAAAAATAGCAAATGCACGATCGCTCGGTTAAACCTAACTTGCTCCCTTCACCAATAAAACGACAGAAAGAACGACGAATTCGGTAACCGTAAGTGACTCATAGCTGGGAACAGATTTTTTCCCCGATCGTGTAATTTCCCCTGCGCGTCATGAGTACGGCCGTATTGTATATTCCACGACATGCGACCAACGTTGCAGCTAACTATCCATGTTGTTGTGTATATCCTTGCAGCTAGCTATCCAGAGGGGATGAATCGGCATTGTATCCCCAGGCAGGTGTTGCGGTGAATTTTCTCTCTCTCCATTCATAGCCTGTCACTGAAGTCTGCTCACGTTGAAAGCGTGATGATTTGCTACACGTACGTCAGTCGGTGTGGGCGTAGACAATGGCGCTGCAGGTGTGTCTTTTTTCTTTCAGAACTTGATCCCAAAATCTTCTCGCGCTGAAAACGCGACGTCTTATGTCTCGTGCGTAATCTGGCGCTCCTCCGTGTATAGATAACAACGACGCCTCCACCGCCAGCAACGCCTCCACCGCCAGCAACGCCTCCACCGCCAACAACGCCTCCACCGCCAACAACGCCTCCACCGCCAACAACGCCTCCACCGCCAACAACACGCCCCACCGCAACAACGCCTCCTACCAGCCAACACGCCTCCACCGCCAAACAACGCCTCCACCTGCCAACAAACGCCTCCACCGCCAACAACGCCTCCACGCCAACAACGCCTCCACGCCAACACGCCTCCACCGCCAACAACGCCTCACCGCCAACAACGCCTCCACCGTCCAACCAACGCCTCCACCGCAACAACGCGTCCACCGCCAGCAACGGCCGTCCACCGCAACAACGCCTCCAGCGCAACAACGCACTCCACCGCAACAACGCCTCCACCGCCAGCAACGCCTCACCGCCAACAAACGCCTCCACGCAACAACGCCTCCACCGCAGCAACGCCTCCACGCCAGCAACGCCTCCACGCCAACAACGCCTCCACCGGTCCACCGCCCAACAACGCTGCCACCGCAACAACGCCTCCACGCAACAACGCCTCCACCGCCAACAACGCTCCACGCAGCAACGCCTCTTTCACGCCCCAGCAACGGCTCGCACGCCAAACAACGCCTCCACGCAACACGTCTCCGACGCCCAACAACGCTCCACACCAACAACGCCTCCACCCCCAACAACGCCTCCACCGCCAACAACGCCTCCACCGCCAACAACGCCTCCACCGCCACAACGCTCCACCGCCAAACAACGCGCCTCCACCGCCAGCAACGCCTCCACCCAACAACGGCCTCCACCCCCAAACAACGCTCCACCGCAGCAACGCCTCCACCCCA